TTCCTTTCTTTCTTTCTTTCTTTCTTTCTTTCTTTCTTTCTTTCTTTCTTTCTTTCTTTCTTTCTTTCTTTCTTTCTTTCTTCTTTATGTTTCCCTTTCTCGCTGGAGTAGATGTGTATGTGCAGTTCCACTGGCCTCCATAGTTTCAGATGAGAAAGGCCCTGTCATTTTCTATATGTGTCATTCCTCTTTGACTGATTTCAACTCTACTTCTCAGAACTGTGATTGTGATGTAAATGACTGTGAATTTCTTTGGTTTATCCTATTTGGACTTTTCTTGGGCTCTTGAATCTGTAGATCTGTGCCCTTATATATGATTTGGGGGCTGAAGAGTGCTGAATATCCCATGGACTGCCAAAAGAACAGATATACCTTGGAGAAGGGGCAGCCAGAGTGCTCCTTGGAGGCAAAGATGACGAAGTCTCACATACTTTGGGCATGTTGCTAGGAGAGGTTATTTCTTGGAAAGGGACATCATGCTTGGGAAGGTGGAGGAGCAGTGAAGGAGAGGAAGACCCTCCACCCAGTGGGTTGACCTGATGACTGTGACAATGGACTTGAGTGTGTCAGAGATTGGTAGGCATGGGATAGGACAGCTTTCGTATCTGTTATTCATAGGATTGCTACGAGTCATTCTCAACAGAAAGGCACCTAACAACAATATATGAAATTTGGAAGCGCTGGTGGCCTAGTGGGCAGGAAGTTGTGCTGCCAATCCAAAGGCAGCTGGTTCAAGTCTCTCAGCAGCTCTGAGGGAGAAAGAGTACAGTCTTCTTCTTGTGTGATTTGCAGTCTCTGAAAACTCACAGCAGGGTCAAAGGTGAGTCAGCTTCAAGTCGACAGCAATCCGAGTGAGTTAATGATGTAATTTAGGGACTTTTCTACTGTTATTTCTTCTAATAGCATTCAGTCTCACTCTTTCTTCTTTCCTTCTGGACTCCAGTGATAACAAATTTGAGCTCTTTTATAATTTGTCCCACAGACCTTGCAGACTGTTTAGTGTCTTTCAGTCCATTTTTCCCCATTCAGATTTGTTACATTCCACCGACCTGCCCTGAGGTGCACTGACCTCTGCTATCTGTAATATTGAGTCTAGCCAATGTGGTTTGTTCAAAACTTCTGTTGTATTTTAAAATTTTGACAACTTTCATTTGATCTTTTGTTTATAATTAAATATTATTCAGATTCTCTTTTTCATTTGTTTCAGGAGAATCCATAATAGTTTGTTGAAGCATATTTTGTTTTGATGGCTTTAAAATTACTATCAGATAATTTAAACATTTGATTTGTCTCAATATTGGTACGTATCGATAGCCTTTTTTCTTTCAAGATCTGATTTTCCTGATTCTCAGTATGATTAGTGATTTTTCCATCACATCCTGGATGCTTTGAATAGCATATTATGCAACTGTAAATTCTACTTAATTATTTTTTGTTTGTTTAGCAGGAAGTCTCCCTTATTGAGAAGTAATGTGATGGCTAGGGATATCTGGGTCCTGCCGACATTTTTTTTATCAGTGAAATGGAGCAATGACTCTCATTGCTTCACTCCCTCTATCCAATTGAGGATATGAGTTAGTTAGATCCCCCTGGATCTTTCCCACATCAAGGAAGATGGAATAAAAGTGTTGACTCTCCTGCTTCTTCTCACCTCCATGTGGTTGATCCCAGTGGGGCTGAAGATTCAGGTCTCCGCTGGCCCTGATGATACTAGAATGAGATGAAGTAGAAGTAGTGCTAACTAGACCCATCTCAGACCTCTTATTCAGCTTTGTTGCTGCAGGTGGAAGTGAGGACCCAGCTCTTTACTTGAGCCCATACTACCTTGATCTTCCCTTACAGGAGAATCAGAGTTATCTACTTCCTCTGAGAAAGAGATGGAAAATCAACTTCTTGCTCAGTTTTTGTTGACCTCACAGGGCAGAGGAACTGAAGCACCATTACCTGCTTACATGAGACAAGAGTGGGGTAGGAATAGCTTGGCTCTTGGGTCAACCCTCCAATCTATCTACTAAAAGAAGGGAAGTGGGTGTGGTTTTTCCATTGTGATTAAGCCGTAGTAGGGAGTGTATTGACACTTTGGGGTCTGCTTTCACTTGACCACTCTTTACATGGTGGGAACACGCTTTCCTTAGAGCTTTTTATTTGTGCCTGTTGGACATTCCAAGGTTTTCTGTCTATAGTGCCTTGTCTTGGATACACAGAGATAATGTGGAAACTCAGGCACCCATTACCATGCTATTTCTCAGTTCCAGAGGCCTTCTTATTTCAGCCTTTCACAGACTTCCTATGTTTGTTGTGTTATGTCCAGGACTTTGTAGTTGTAAGAGGGAGGGCTTGGGAGCAATGGAGCTCTTGATTAATGGGTCTTATTTCTTTACATAGTTCTTGAAGTTTACAAGGAAACATAGAAGGCTTCAGGCCCCCACCTTCAGGCCCTACACTTTAGACTCAATCAATTTTCCAGGTGAAAAATGCCAAACCTCAGGAACTGTGACTTGCCAAGGCTGTGCAAAGCCATGCGGGCAGAGCTCAGTTCAAATTTCAGTCCAAAGTCCTCTCCCCTCTGTAAACTTCTCCCATAACTTCCTCTACCTGAGAGAGCAGCCTCTTGTAAATGATAACAAAAGCAAAGCTCCTTGTTTTGGTTTTTTTTTCTATTTAAGATACTCTGAGTGCTTCTCCTTAAATGGTGATTACTGCCACTCCTGCTATTGTGATAGCGGTGATGGTGGTGATGGTGGTGACTAGGATGGTGGTTACACGGTGATGCTGCTACTGAATAGCGGAGTGGCCTTCCTTCCTTCCTTCCTATG